TCCTCATCACTTTCTTTTTTTTTTTGGCGGAACAAAGGATTGAAATCAGGCTGTTGTGCTTGCCAGGGAAGCGCTTATTCCACTGAGCCATCTCCCCAGCCCCTATAATACATTTTTAAAATGTAAACATTTGGCATATTAGACCCAGTCCTAGCCCAGGCCCAGTGAGTGTTTGGGAGAGCTTCCAGCTACCCTGCGCCAGCAGGACCTATCTCGGTCCCAGCCCAGACGCAGCGTGGGTGAGACCCTCTTCCATCCCCTTGGGACGACCCCCAACACTCCACAGCACCTCCCCCACCCTGCCTGCCCTGGAGGAATTTCTGCCCCTTTCCGGAAACTCTCACATCCAGTCCTAGCCCAGGTCCTATGAGTGTGTGGAAGAGCTTCTGGTTAACCTGTGCTGGTGTGACCTACTGGTCGCAGCCCAGGCGCGACCTACTGGTCCCAGCCCAGGAGCAGCGTAGGTGACACCCCCTTTCACCCTCTTTGGATGCCCCTATCACTCGATAGTACCACCCCCACACCGCACCCACTGAGTAGTAATTTCTGCCATGTTCCGGGAACCCCCAGATCCAGTCCTAATCCAGGCCCACTGAGAGTATGGGAGAGCTGCCTCTCCCCCCTAATCCACCTTGTCCCCTCAAGACTCAGCTCAGGCCTGGCATACAGGCCTGGGGTGAAACCCTGCAACTGCAATCCCTGCAGAGAGTGTAGGGGACATAACCACCCAGCTAGTCCAAGAGCAGAACATCTTGCCAGAGGGACACAACAGGTTCAACCCCATGGGCAGCAGCAAGAAGGGGCTGAGCACAGCGGCCAAATCCAAGGCAGGCACAGCTGGATAAATACAAAATCTGTAGATCTGCACCTGAACTTCAGTAGGTGCTAAGGTTATAGCTACAGCAAAGATCTACAACAAAGGTCAGAAGACAGTGCTATACAAAATGACAATGAGAAGGAGCAAAATGGAATCTCAGTACCCAAGCCCACCCATAACAAAGGACATTAAAACAGAACAAATTGGGAATCACACAGCTGAAAGCAATGAATCAACGACTTCTGAAATGAACAGCTGCAGAAAGGTATAGAGGAACTCAGACTGGAATTGAAAAAAGAAATCCCTGAATTAATAACATCTGCAATAAAGAATCAAATGCAGAAACATGGAGGAAACACAGTGCCCACCAAGAACAAGAGCAGAGGACACTAGCTCAGCTGAAATGTATGAATTAATAGCGTTGATAGCAAATACGCAACAGTATCAATAGTAAATAAGCAACAGAGGAAAATTATACAGGAACTCAGAGCGGAATTCTTTTTGGAAATAAAAAAAGAATTCTCAGAACTCATAGCATCTGAAGTAAAGAATCAACTACAGAAACATAGGGAGGAAACCCAATCAGAAAGAAACACTGCAGTAAAAGAATTTATAACTGCTTCTAAAGGAGACATTGATAAAAAAAAAATAGAGGAGATTAGAAAAATGATGGATTCCTTGAATGAGCAATACAGGAAAGAAATAAATCACGTGAAGTAGAGTCAAAGAGATATAGAGGAAATTAAAATCTCAATCACAAGCTTGCAGAACCGTTTAAGTCAAAGTGAAGACAGAGTTCCAGATCTTGAAGATGCTGATGCAGCTAGTGAAAAGGTAAGAAAGGATCTCTTAAAAACAACTAGGATGCAGGAAAAAATCCATCACCTGCAAGATGATGCAAAGATGAACAATGTGAGACTAATAGGCATCAATGAGAAAAAAGGAGTGAATACAAATAACATTAAAAATTATGGGCTGAAGTAATAGCAGAAAACTTGCCAAATATGAGGAAACAATCAGACATTCAGGTAACTGAAGCATACAGAATACCAAGTAACCTCAACCCAATTAAAAGCACATCGAGACATATAATAGTCAAGATCCCAGAAATTCAGCACAAGAATAATATACTGAAAGCCGCTAGAGAAAAGAAGCAGATCATATTCAAAGGAATACCCATCAAAATTACGGCTGACTTCTCTTCACAAACCATGAAGGCAAGAAGAGCATGGAGAAGAGTACTTCAAGTCCTCTATGAAAACAAATTCCAGCCCAGAATACTATACCCTGCAAAAGTTTGATGGAGAAGTGAAATACTTTCATGACAAAAAACAGCTAAAGAATTTCATGATGACAAAGCCAACCCTACACAGGCTCTGGAAAGATGTTCCAGATCAGAACTCCACAAATCAGATCAGAAGCAACCAATTAAACAGGGCAAGCAATTAAACACAGGAGAAAAAGGAGTAAACAACAGGTAAATAACATGTCACTTGTAAGTCAATACATATCAGTTCTAACCATTAATGTAAATGGACTCAATTCACCAATTAAGAGAAATAGACGGGCACAGTGGATTAGGAAACAAAATCCAAAAATATGCTGTACAAAAGAAATACATTTAACTCACAAAGACATTCATAGACTGAAAGTCAAAGGTGGAACACAATACTACATGCCCCAGCACCTCAGAAAAAGCAGGGGTAGCAGTTCTATTCTCAGACAGTCTAAACGTCAAACCAAGAATGATGAAGAGAAATAAAGAAGGCCACTATATACTGATTAGAGGAAAAATTCAAGAGGAAGAGGTAACACTCATAAATATGTATGACCCAAAAACGGGAGCACCCAACTATATAAAGCAAATCTTAATGGACATGAAAAATCTAATATCCAATACCACAATCTTAACAGGAGACCTTAACACACCCTTATCTCCAAAAGATAGGTCAATCAAACAAAAACTTAGCAAAGAAATAACAGAACAGAACCAGAGCTTGAAACAAATGGTCTTAGTGGACATATACAGAGTGTTCCATGCAAACACAGCTGAATACATATTTTTCTCATCTGCACATGGGTCATTTTCTAAAATACACCACATACTAGTCCATAGGTCGTGCTTAAGTATATGTAAGAAAACAAAAATTATCCCATGCACATTATCTGACGACAGTACAATGAAACTAGAAATAAATGACAAAAGAAACCAAAAAAACATCCTAAATACATAGAAATTAAATGACACC